CTATACAGCTCTGATGCTGTAAAACCTGTGCCCGGAACCAAGACCCTCGACCCCTGGACCCTAAGACCCCAAGATCTTGAAACCCAACCCCCAACCCAAACCTTGTTTGAAGTGAGATCCATGTGACAACTAATAGCCAGGCAATAAATACGAAGCACCAGCAGTAAACCCAAAACACTCAACCCTAAACCCCAGCAGAAAGAATACCATACACCGATAATCTCGGTGCTTGCTAGATCCTCGTGGCCCCCCGACGCGAGACACCCCACAATGTAGACCGCTCTCCGCCTTGCTCTTGGGTTTAAACCTTAGAAACTTTAGAATATAGTGATAAGTTTAATGATCGCGGGACCGGAATGATAAAGCCCTTGCAGAGACGGGCTTTCTTGACACCCAGGACCTTAAGAAAAAAACTCTAACACCTCTCCACACCCCAAACCTTGCATGCACAAACGAAAAGCAAAGAACCAATAGCACAGAAGGTCACGGCGACCGGCACCTGTTTGAACATATACAAGTTGAAATCTACATCCTTCAAGAGGAAACATTCCCTACACGCTGAACCCTAAACCCTAAACCCTCAACACTAAACCCTATACCCTTCAAAAGGTAACAATTCAAGCCCTAAACCCTTATAGTACCCTTAATAGATCCCCTTATAGATCCCTTAAGCCCTAAACCCCTATAGTACCCTTCATAGGTCCCCTTATAGATCCCTTAAAAGGACCCCCTTAAAAATGGTCCAAAAGCCATCTCGGGCCCCCAGCCCGTCTACGAGGACGTCCCGGGGAATGAGCCGCCGGGTCTTCGGATCCACCAAGAGACCCAAGGCTGCCTCGGCTAGGGGCTCCCCAGAGAGCCCAATACCCCTTAATTAAGGAATATGGCTTAAACTATATAGGGATTCATATTATGATTAAAGCCACATTCCTTAATTAAGGGGTATTGGGCTCTCTGGGTCCTTTTGACAATGAAATTCGGGTTTGGGGTTTGGGATTTAAGGTTTAGGGTTTAGGGTTTAGGGTTTAAGGTTTCGGGTTTAAGGTTTAGGGTTTAGGGTTTAAGGTTTAAGGTTTAGGGTTTCAGGGTTTAGGGTTTAAGGTTTAGGGTTTAAGGTTTAAGGTTCAGGGTTTAGGGTTCAAGTGCCTTTGAAGGGGTTCACAAGGGCTACTCTGAGGGCTATTGTGAGGATGTGGTGTATGCGCCTGGAGCATTAGAATAGGGTTCTCGGGGTTCCTGTTTATGATTATACTATAATCTACGCCCAAAGCCCTATTCTAATCATTGAGGCCCCTCTGTCAGGGTGTGGGGTTTGGGGTTGAGGGTTCGGGTTTGAGGGCGTAGGGTTTTAAGATTTGAGGATTGGGGCTTCATGTTTCGGGTTTGGGATGTTAAGCCCTAAGGGTCCATGTACTCATATAGTATATACATTGGCCTTGGCCTTAATGTAGTCCCTATTTGAGTGGGGCCCAAGTATATGCCATAAGAGTACATGGACCCTCAGGGAATCTTTGAGGTTTGAGGATTAGGCGGATTATTATTCTTGGCTTTAGAGCTTCGAGAAAGGCAATCGCAAAGGATGCTCGGATTAGGGCTCGGGGCCTTAAAGGGTTTATATTGGGTACGGCCGCCATACAGTAACAGTCTATAATAGGGCTACTATTAAGGGCCTAATATATCTATATTATGAATATTATCCGACTGTTACTGAGTGGGGGCCATACCCAATGTTTATAGTAGAAGCCAGAAAGTTGGAACATCAGTATCCTCATGGCCTTAAGGTAAAGTATACAGGATCCTAGCACTAATCCTCCTAAAGCCATGTTCCAACTTTCCGGCTTCTACCGTAGAGGCTAGGGTTTTTAGAGGTTAAAGCTTAGGACTTAGGATTTGGGGTTATCCGTACTCTCTAACGTAACTTCGTTTGTGCTTGCCTGACGTCGTTCAGGTTGCTATCTATGAATCAGGTTTGCCCACAACAACCGAACTATCGTGAAGTGTCCTCCTTGTTGATTACACCCGAAGACCCCTGAAAGCCCTAAGCCCTAAACCCTTGTTCCTAAACCCTTAACCCATAGCCCCAAACCCTCTCCACTGCTGCCAAGTTGGCTAAGGCCATGTGCCCAATGATGGCGTCGTCTGTGCAGGGATCCTGGTCAGGTTACGTAAGGATTGGGACTCGCAGCTTCGGGTGCAGGGTAGGGTTTAGGGTGTAGGGTTCAGGGTATCGGGTTTAGGGTGTAGGCTTTAGGGTTTAGGCTTTGGGGTTTAGGGTTAAGGGTTAGCGTATAACCTTTAAGGTTTAGGCTTTGGGGCTTGGTTTTGGGGTTTAGGAATTGACTTTAGGAGGGACTTCGGATTTAGGGTCTGCGGGTTCTGGCTTCTGTAGGGTTTAAGCTTGGCAAGTAAACTTCGATCCCTTTTAGGGTCTGAGTTCGGATTCGAAACCCATGCCAGTTGTCTTTCCGAACCCTGAATCCAAACACAACGTGAACAGTAACATGGCCCAGGAATCCAGAACGGCTTGACACACCCATTAGGCTCTTAGGTACATTAGAAAATGCCGAAGAATTAGCGAAATCATCTCCTCATATCAGGGTTTAGGGTAATTCGTAGATTCCCCCCAGCCTCTGCCCCAGGTGCGAAGCGAGCTTCGGGAACGACAGTCATCGCAGCCTGGTCTCCGAAAGCTCTTTGAGCGGGGCTCCTTAAGGGCTTAGGGTTTCCAAGCCTTACCTAGAGGCGCATACCCTACCCCTTTGTTGGGATACCTAGTTTTATGGTTAGGATATCTTATCTTAAAAAGTAGGCGCCCTAAAAAAGGGTAGGGTATGAGCTTCTAGGTAGAGTCTAATTAGGACTGTTTTGTTTTGAGGTCTTTGGGTTTGCATTCCATTCGTCTTCAGGCCTGAAGAGAGTTGTTTGGATTTGCTATTATTACTATTATTATTACTATTATTATTACTATTATTACTATTATTATTATTAGTGGATTTGCTTGGCTTTGCCCGAAGGCACCAGGGCCTGCAGCCGATCGTGGCCTGCTGGGGAAGCGAACCATCCGGCGTCAGTACCCTAAACCTAAACCCTAAAACCCTAAACCCTAAACCGCTGCCAACTGCCGTCGTGTCCCGGAATGGGTGCCAAGGTCATTGTGTTGGGACTAAGGCAGTCCTCAACTCGATGCGAACTTGCGGCAGTCCCCTCTGCAGCAACTCGATCTGCCTCAAAAATTCCAAGTCGTGATGCTGCGCAGTTCCCTCTGCAGCAACTCGATCTGCCTTAAAGCTTTCAAGTCAAGGCTTTGGGTTTAGGGGCTTGAGGTTGAGTTTTTGGTTCAGGGTTCAACGTTGAAGGTTTCAGGTTCAGGGCTCGGGGAATAAATGAGATGGCTCATTGAAGATGATTCGAAGTGAGCTTTGTGGGGCCATTCTGCAATGAAGGATGATAGCAAGGACTATCAGGGGAGCACTTAGAGGCCCAGGGGACTTAGTGGCCATAAGTAGGGTTATAAGTACCCTGAGTGGAGTTGCCCCGATGATAACCCTACTTATAACCTGCTTACTAAATCCCCTGGCTCTCCAAGTAACCCTGAAATCCCCCTTATAGAACCCCTTTTCGCTCCCTTTTAAAGAGCCCTTTAAGAAACCCCTTAAGTAACCTTAGTTGCTAAGGTCCCTGGGCCTCCAAGTAGTGTTACGGATTTGTCCAACCTTTACAGGAAAGGTGGGTGAAGGTTTAGACATTAGGGTCGCTCACAAGGTGTCACGGCGTCTTTTCAGGCTGCTGTTATATTCCGATTCCCAGAGGGTCCATAGAATTAGGCCTCAAAATTCAAAAGACCATCCCAATAATGGTTTTGGGGAGCGGGAGCGCAATTCCATAATAGTAGTACAAATGCAAATCGCCTGCATAGGGCGTTTTATGAAATTGCTGTATGGCTTTACACCGCTATGTTTTGGGTTCCTTCATGGGTTCCTTTGTTCATGGTTTCAGACTTTCAGGAGTCAAGGATCACGCAGTAGGGCATAGTGCGCAAAGCTTAACTTTAAGATAGGGCCCTTAACAGTTAGAATAGGGTCTGGGGGCCCAGTATACTGTACGTATAATAATAAGGAACCCTCAAAATAGTATTATTCAGGCCCCGTTGCTGAACCTTATGCTAACCCTTCATTATAGTAATCCTGTATAGACCCTTTATAAAGGAACCCTGGAAAGGAAGCCTACTCCAAGTATGTATATAGGCCCCTATTTGGGCGGTTGTCAAAATTATGGTCCCTTGTTGGGAACCCATAAATATTAGGTGCCGTACTATATTAAGGACCCAAAAAGGGACCCTAATTTTGACAACCACCTATATGCAAAGGTCGGACAGCAAGGGATCCTGGACTCCGCTCCCTTGGGAAAGCAAGCTCCGCCCTGCGAAAAAATGCGCTCCAAATCTCTCCAAGTCATAAACCCTAAACCCCTAAGACCCTAAACCCTAAAACCCTAAGACCCTAAGACCCTAAGACCCTAAGACCCTAAACCCCTATGTAAGACCCTAAGACCCTACACTCCAAACCCCAGGTTTAGAGCTAGACAGTGAAGGAGTTCTGCTTGTTTTTTTTGGGGGGAGGGGAGATCCCTGGTTTATCGAGGGTTTCTGTGCTCTTGTCTGGGAACTTAAGCTAAGGGTTCAAAGGACCCTATACTTAGGTACTCGGTTTTAGGATAGTAGTTATGTAGGTTAGGATTTAATGAGAGTACCTGATTATTAGGTACTTGGACCCTTGGGGTAACATTTTGAAGAGACCCCATTAGTTAGTATACATTCGTGTTGTGGCAACTTAAGCTCTGTTCCTTAAGATTTCAGAAGAAAGAGGTTCAAGGTTGTCTTTTCAGCTACTAAGGGCCCCTTACAGAGCCCCTAGAGACTCTAGAGAGCCCTGAAAGCCCTAAACCCTCATAGTACCTTAGAGGATCCCCCCGTACTCCCCACTGATCTCCGAGGGAACGGCAACGCAGGATCTGCCTTGAACTGTGATCTGCACCTAGGATTTCAGGACTTTTCAATCGAGTTTCGGGTTTGAGGCTACCCCGAAAGGCAATCTTCCGGTTTTGGGTTTCGATTTTAGTGTTTCGGGTTTCGGGTGTAAGACTAAGACAGGGACCTGATTGAAAACGCTGGGTCTCTTTACCAAGAGTTCTGCATAGCACTAGGAATCCTATAGGGCCGGGGGTTTCTTAATCGGGTTCCCACATTACCCCGAAAACCCTAAACAACGAGCCACTAGACTTGCTCGCTTGTCCTGAGTGGTTCGTGCTTGGGATAAGCCTATTCCCTAGTGTTTCTAAGTACATACTACAAAAACAATTCTCTCACCACAGCCCAGCAACCAACCTATCGCCAAATCAACTTCTCCTGAAGCGGCCTGCTGCCAGAGAGTTTCTCGATGGTGTGCCACCCTTGCCCGGTCCAGCAAGCTAAGATAAGGGCCTTGTTAGTTAGAATAGGGTTTGGGGCTTGGGGCCCATTCTACTATTTAAAATAACCCATTATACTTTTACTATGATAAGGACCCCCCAACCAAAAAATACTGCAGGTAATGATTTAGGCCCCTATATTAGTCCGCTCCGATGCACTGAGCGGGGGATGCAGCTCTGCTGGCACTGAAACAGCCTGATCCTTAATGTAGGGGCCTAAACAATCACCAAGACTTTTTCCAGGCTTCCTTCTTATAGTTACAGTCTAATATGCCCCAAGGCCCTATTCTAATTATTAAGGCCCCTATATTATAGAACCCTACTATAGATCCCTTATAGTAGCCCTTATAGACCCCTTTAAAGGAGCCCTACATTACGTATCAGCTCCAGAGCAGCTTGCTTCAATTCCGTCAATGAAATCCTGGCCTTCTGCCTCTTGAAAATGGTCCACGTCCGACTGCAGAGGGACCAAGTGGAGGTTTAGGGGGTTTAGGGTTTAGGGGGTTTAGGGTTTCGGGTTCAGGGTTTAGGGGGTTTAGGGTTTAGGGTTTAGGGTTTAGGGGGTTTAGGGTTAGGGTGTTTAGGGTTTAGGTGTAAACCTTTCGAATCTCCAATGCCACCGCAGCTTCCACAGCTGCCTCCTTCTCCTTGTTGGCATCCTAAAGCTTGGCCTGAAGCGACTGCATCACCTTGTAGATGTTGCCGTCCATGGGGTAGGCGAACGGCTCCGGTCCTTCGGAAGAGCTGAGTCTAAGTTGCGTGCTTGCCGGAATCGGAGAGGCACTCGATCCCGGCACCACACGAACTGGACCTTCAGCTGGTTCCACCGCCTGAACCGCTCATTCCACGTGGTGAGTGGATCACCACCGCCGCCGACCTGCCCTGTAGACGATGACGCAGTGGTAGTCTCGACGTGGGCTGTTCCCACAACCTTGAAAAAATGAGCACATATCACATAAGTCCCAAACCCTAGAAGCCTCTACATCCTAAAACCTATACATCCTGAAACCTAGACCCTAGAACCCAAACCTCCTCGCAGCCCTCGGAGCTCAAAGCCCACATAGCTGAATAAAACTGAACAGTACTTGGAGGGTCGGGGGACTTAGTAAGTAGATAGTAAGTAGACTTATAAGTACCCCAAAAGGGACCCTAATTGGGTTATGGTACTTATAAGTCCCGAAAATATCTACTTTCTAAGTCCCCCGACCCTCCAAGTAATCCACCATGCCTAAACGCTGGAGTAGGTTCAGGCTGCAGGGCTTGGGGTTCAGGAGTGTTTCGGGCCGACTTGCTCTTGAAAAAGTACATGTATGTACATCTGAAATGCGACAAGAAGCCCTCAACCCAGGAGCAGCCAAACTTTAGGATATAATGTTATAACAATTATAACCACATAAGAGCATGGTGTTATAATGTCTCAATGGTTTAATGACAACACGACATAAATAAAGAACCAATAATGCAACAACATCACAATACAACATGCCCTGAACCTGGAGCCAACCAAGGCTGGTGCTTCGAAGACATCGAAGGCCTGGTTGGGGTTCAAGGTTTAGGGTTTAGGGGTCTAGGGTTTGGGGGTTTAGGGGTTTAGGGTTTAGGGTTTTGGGGTTTGAGGTTTAGGGTTTATAAGGGTTTAGGAAACCCTAAGCCCTGCATTCCTACACCCTGAACCCCTCAACCCTCAACCCTAAATCCCTGAATCCTAGAGTATTAAGACTCGGGATTTCCCGAAAACAGGGGGCCCTAATATAGTACCCTAAACAGTGGGATCCTTATTATAAGGACCTCATCGTTTCTTCCTTGTCTATCGCGCCTTAATGAAGGAGCCGCACGTAAAGGCTTCAATTTGAACCTTTGCGGACTTGCAAACTGCTCTTTGACTAGGTCCCCCAGTAACCCCTTCATAATAAGGGCACCCTTTTTCCCAATATTCGGCTTTAAGAACAAGCTTGTAAAATCAAAAGGGTGAAAGGGTACTAATCAGCAATTGAAAAACGTACGTGCCGGTAGGGTTTAGGGGTTTAGGGTTTAGAGGTTTAGGGGTTTAGGGTTTAGGGTTAGCTCAAAAACTGCTGGACCGAAGCTCCTGCTCCGCACGACTGGACTCGACGAGTCGGACATTCGGACGATGCAGGCCCGGGTGATTCGCAAAATTGAAGACAGTGCCTACATGAGCGCAACAGACAAGTATCAGTAAGTGAAACTTAAGGCCTGTATAACATGAAGACATCAAAACGGGCTGCTGACGGAGGGCTACAGAAACTCCAAAGGCTCTTGTGAGGCCAAAGAGCATACCCGAATCCCCAATCCAGCGAAGCAAACTTTCAAATTTGTAGAATAATGCAAGTTAATCCTATAAGCTCCCAAGGAAGCAAACCTTGTTGCGCTTTTTCCAGGCTGCTAATCGACAACTGCAAGAGACCAACAACTGAAAACACCTCAACCCTAAACCCCTAAACCCTAAGACCCTGAACCCTGAACCCTAAGCCCTAAGACGCTAAAACCTAAACCCTAAGACCCTCAACCCTAAACCCCTAAACCCCATGGGTCCCTTTCAGGAACCCTATAAAGATTCCTTTAAGGATCCCTTTAAGGACCCTATAGATCCCTTTTTAAGGAGCCCTTTAAGGAACCCTCTCTCCACCGAAACCCGAAAGTCCGGAGCCGGCCTCGACACCGGTTGCTGTTTCGTAGACCACCCCTTCCTGCATGAGGGGATCCACGGTTTAGGGTTTTAGGGTTTTGGGGTTCAGGGGTTTAGGGTCTTAGGGGTTTACGGGTTTAGGGTCTTAGGGTTTAGGGTTGAGGGGATCCAGCTTGGGTATTGTAGGGCCCTATAATTAGCGTAGGGGCTCCTTTAACGGGGCCTTTAAGGGCTACTATAAGGGATCTATAGTAGGGTTCTATAATATAGGGGCCTTAAAAATTAGAACTGGGTTTTAGGGCCCACTATACTATAACTGTGATAGCAAACCCCCCAGAATAGTATAGGTAAATTTTAAGGTCCCTGTACTACTGCCCCCACCCTGTAACAATCTATATTAGCAAGGGGTCATAATAAGGACAGTTCACAACCACGTTAGACATGTTATATACCCACTATGGGCTATTAGACCTTATGGGTACCTTAATCTACCCTTAATAGGGTCCTAATAGGGATCTTTAGGGTCTAATAGCCCATAGTGGACCTTCGGGCTTCTATATCCTGCATCTCGAGGAAAACGCGTCCTGGATGACCGGCAACGGGTGGATCTTGCGAAACATGGCCTTGCAAGCAACAACAACGAAAGAATGAGAAATTCGACGGATTGCAGTGCTCTAGGATACCCCTTAATTAAGGAATATACCTTAAACCATAATAGGATCCCTTCTATGATTTAAGGTATATTCCCTAATTAAGGGCTAGGATACCCAGTAACCTAAGAATAAAAAGGCCTCTCTTTTTTGGTATTGGGTAACTTGATAAGGAACCTAGGACTACAAAAAGGGAATAAGGGTACTACTGGGCATCCTAGTGCTAGTGTAGTCGTGGTCACCAATCACCGTAAAGGTGACGGTGAAGTGGCAGCAACAGTGGTTTGGTGGTGGTTGTAGCAGTGTAGTTGTTGAAGCAGCAGGACAAGTGGGAGTTTCCGAAAAAGGGGTACCTTAGTTTGGGGTCCTTAGAATAAGGATCCTATTATTTCGGGGTCCTTATATGAAGGATCCTATTATTTTGGGGTCCTTATAATAAGAATCCTATGATTCAGGGTGCTTTTTTGGGGTCCCTGTTCTTGGAAACGCAAAACGTATCATCCCTCGTCGTCGCTCGACCGCGCGAATCAACCTGAATTAGGGTTTAGGGTTTTGAGTGTAGGGTTCAGGGCTTCACCCGGGTCAGAAGGGATGCAGACTGATTCTTCGCAGTTTCAGATATGGGGGTCTTATTTGTGGCTTCCTAATTGGAGTACAGCCCTTCCTGCCTTCAGGAAACAGTAGGGTCTCTTGACTGTAGAGCATCACCCTTAACTGGGTTCTTGCTCATGGGTTTACCTGCTAACTCAAGTTAAAACCAAAATCCTCAACGAGAACCCTAAACCTTAAACCCCTATAACTAACCCTGAACCCTAAACCCCTATAAACCTCTATAAACCCCCCAAACCGAACCCTGAAGGCCTTGAGACAGTAGGCTATTGCCCTAGGGATCAAAATAGCCCGAAAGCCTTATATGGTATGGTCTTTGGGCCCAAAAGCTTTAATTAACACATGAGTCTTTAGATCCCTAAACCCTAAACCCTATAGATCCCTTTAAAGGACCCCCTATAGATCCCTTTAAAGGAACCCTTATAGATCCCTTTAAAGGAATCCTATATATGAGTCCTTAGATCCCTAGGGTTGGATTGAAAGGGAGAGCCCTGCCATGAAAATGTCCAAAAGACCTGGAAGCCTGAAGCACCCAAGTACACGGTTTAGGGTTGTAGGGTTTAGGTTTTTAGGGCTTAGGGTTCAGGGTTTTTGGAATTTAGGTTTTAGGGTTTTAGAGTTTAGGGTTTAGTTTAGGGTTTTAAAGTCTACGGTTTAGGGTTGTAGAGCACCCAAGTACACCTGCTAAAGGGTTCCTTCTTGGGACCCCACCCAGTCAAGGTTCGGTTCCTGTATGGGCTCCTTCAAGGGTTCTTTCAGGGTTCCTACAAGGGTTCTTTAAGGTTTCCTTCAATGGCTCTTTAAGGGGTTCCTTCAACAGTTCTTGATGGAGTCCTATAAGAGTTTGCGGGTCTGGGGTATACTGAAGTGCTTGGAGCGTCAGGGCGTGGTAAACACCGAGAATCGCCTCCCGCAGCTCGCAGTCAGATGAGCCCGTGTCCACCAGTGCACGGCGCACAACCTTGTGGATGGGTCTTACCAGGACTTTATAAGAGTGTTGACAAGGACTTCGCGAAATCCTGTGCTTCCTGATGGTTTGATAGGATATTGTGTGTTTGTGTGTGTGTGTGTGTTTGTGCGCTTGTGTTGGTGCTTGTGTTTATGTTTGTGTGTGTGCTATTTTTTGTGTGCTTGCATGTGTGCGTGCACTTGTGTTTGTGCTTGGGTTTGTGGTTGTGCTTGTGATTGTATTTCTGCTTGTGCTTGTGTTTGTGTGTGTGTGTATTGTGTGCTTATGATCATGCTTGTGTTTATGTTAGTGAGTGTTTCTGTACTTGTGTTTGTGTTTGCGATTGTGCTTATGCTTGTGTTTTGTGTGTGTGTGTGTGTGTGTGTGTGTGTGTGTGTGTGTGTGTGTGTGTGTGTGTGTGTGTGTGTGTGTGTGTGTGTGTGTGTGTGTGTGTGTGTGTGTGTGTGTGTGTGTGTGTGTGGTTGTGTGTGTGTGTGTGTGGGTGTGTGTGTGTGTGTGTGTGTGTGTGTGTGTGTGTGTGTGTGTGTGTGTGTGTGTGTGTGTGTGTGTGTGTGTGTGTGTGTGTGTGTGTGTGTGTGTGTGTGTGTGTGTGTGTGTGTGTGTTTGTGTGTGTGTGTGGGTGCGTGCGTGCCCATTTTGTTGTTTCCTGCTGCTTGGCTTGATTTGTTCGTATGGGAAGCGCGACTGCGCATTCCAACTCAAGCCTGCGACCCAGAAACCAAAGTGCGACTGCAAGCAGTTTAAATTCCAAAAGGTTTAACCCGCCTAAACCCACACAGCCCCTAAATCCCAAAAGCCATGGTGCGAGCTTCCACCCCTACCCCTAAACCCTAAACCCTAAACCCTAAACCCTAAACCCTAAACCCTGAACCCCTGAAGCCCACGCTCCTCAACCCCAAAATCAATCTGCAGGCCCAGCACTGCAAACTCGAGACCTCGAAGGAAACGACAACAGAGCAAATTATACTATAAACATGTAAACATATATGTCTATCTATCTGTCTATCCATCTAACTATCTAACTACCTACGAACATACTAGACATACATATGTATATATATATATGTATATATATATATATATACGATATGATATGTCAAAATATATAGTTTACACTATATAATCGGCCATCCCAGGTATCTCACCACACCCTGGCCGTCGGCATCGCCCGCGCGGCGAAACTCGGCCTAGCGAGAGCGGCATCGGACTTTTGTTCCGGAATTGCTAATTAGTATTGGTAGGGGTTTAGGCTTTACGGTTTTGGGGTTAACGGTGGCTCATTAATTCGAAGTGGTTTAGGGTGCAGGGGAATCCCTAAACCCTGTACAAGCCCCCTGCAAGCCTCCACGAAGGTGAGTGGTGCAGAGGCCGCCGACAGAGGCGGGCCAGCGGCCTTGATGAGTCAAGGAATGAAAGGCACAGCGCTAGCTGTTTGGGGTACGTTTAGGGCTTACCCATAGGCCCCAAAGTCGTTCCTTTTTGGGGTTCATATATAGAATTCTATAAGGTAATCCCAAAAAGGAACTACTATAGGGCCGCTGGATAGAGCTTAGAAGGTTTAGGACCTATAGAGCTTAGAAGGTTTTGGGGAATGGGGCTAGAAGGTTTGGGGTTTCGGCTGATTGGGGCTTTGGGTGTAGAGCTTAGAAGGTTTAGGGCATAGAAGGTGTGGGGTTTAGGCGTATAGGGGCTTTGGGGTATAGGGCTTAGAAGGTTTTGGGGTTTATATAGAGCTTTGAAGGTTTAGGGCTTAAAAGGTTTGCGTTTTAGAAGCTTTGGGGTTTCGAGGGTTTGGGGTTGAGAGCTTAGAAGGTTTAGGGCTTAGACAGACTTGAAGCTCAGGCTCATCAGGGGGTTCGGGCTTAAAGAACAGAAGGTTTCCAGGGAGGTTTTTCGGGAGACTTTAAGGGAGACCAAAAGAGCTTACAGGGGCTCAAGTTAAGTGGAAATATGAAAATTTAGGCTCTACGGTTTCGATTGTTGAGGGCTTTCAAGGCTTGGGGTTTAGGGCTTAGAAGACTTAGGGCCTAGGGTTTTTAAGGTTTAGAGCGTATAATGGTTTGGGGTTTAGAGCTTGGAAGGTTCAGGGTCTAGGGTATCTTAGAAGGTTGGGGGTTTAGGGTTTGAAAGGTTTAGGGTCTAAAGCCTTTAAGGGTTGAGGGTATAGGGCTCAAGAGGTTGAGAATATAAGCTTCATTAGGGCTTTGGGTGTATGGCTTATAAGGTTCAAGGTTTAAGGCTTATGCGTATAAGGTTTTGGGTTTAAGCTTTCTGCCGGGTAACCTACACTACTACGATCCTCCATGCAAATGGGCTTAGGGTTTAGGGTTAGGCTCCTCCGGGGGCCGTATAATTAGAATAGGGTCTTCGGGCCCATGATACTATAATACGATACAAGGAGCCCTCCAAAGTAGTGTAGGCAGTCATTAAGGCCTGTACACTAAATCCTTATAATAGCCCTTATAGTACTATAGCCCTTATAGACCCACCCCTTTTAAAGAGACCCTTAAAGGAAGCCTACCCTAAGTACTAAGGCCCTACATGACTCTGGACCCCTTCGGGCAATCCCCAGGCCCTGCCAAGCGGCCAATCTCCCTGGCGGAAGCGGCAATGGAACGGCAGTCCTGATCAAATCCGATCTGCTGCTCTAGGGACGTGTAGATGGTATTTCAAGTACAGCAGCCCCAAACCTACAAAAATAGTTAAGATGTAAATTTTACGACAGGTGCGGTAGCCCCAAACCCTATAAAATACTAGGTTATCGCCCCTTAAACATAGAGTAAAGCCCTTCGAAAAGGCACGTTATTGCAGAGTTGGTGTCTTGGATTTCGGGTTTCAGGCTTAGCGGGTCGGAGCCGGGAAGAATGCTTGGGGACCGGTTAAGCCGTCGGGGCTTAGGCTTAAGGACTTCGGGCTTTAGGGTTTATATATTATGTGGTTCGGGGTTTATGGCTTAGGGCCTTTTAACCCCAAGGGTCCAAGTACCTAATAATCATATACTCTCCAGAATCCTAACCTACATAACTACTATCCTAAAACCCAGTACCTAATTATTGGGTCCTTTGGACCCTTAGGGTAAGGTTTAGGGCTTCTTGGGGTTTTGCGGGTTTGGGGCTCGGCGACCCCCTTCTAGGAAGATGATAGGTTCAAGCAAGCTTCGGCTGCGTCATGAGAAAGACTTGGCTGTGGGTACCCATAGGCCCCAGAGTAATTCCTTGTTGGGATTACCTTATAGGAGTCTACATACGAACCCCAAAAAGGAACTACTTTGGGGCCTCTATGGGTAATACGGATCCCTCCTGAAAGGGGCTCTAGTCACTCGGAACGGCCACAACCCGCCCGAAAAACAACACGACGGAGCCTTTGAACCCAAAGGAAACCCTAAACCCTGAACTCAAAACCTGAGCCATGGCCCTCAATTCTGAAACCGAAGCAATAGTATAGAAGCATGGATGACTACCAATATGACTCCCCAGAGTTCCTTATGATAGTCAGACGATAATGTACCCCACCCTAGACTGAGCCCTGAGAGTTACCCTCCTAGAACCCTTACGAACCCGGAACATCGGCCCCTGCAGTATTCAGTCATGCACCTGGGGCTTTGCAGGAACTTCGCCGATGGTGTTGGGTCGCCTTGGAGGTGTCAAAGCCCTAACAAGGCTTCGGGTTGGGGGCGTAATGGGTAGGGCTCGCGGCTTCGGGTTCGGCATTTAGGGCTCTGAGCTCTATCAGGGCAGCACAAGGGCTTTGTAAATAGGAGCTCACCCTTTGAACCCAAGCCGTGCTATGTCTACATATGTATACATGTGTATATATATATATAAGATAAACAATACGTATGTATAAATATACACACCCAAATAAACCCTACTTGGAGGATCGTGACAACTTGGTGTGCAATGCAGGGTTTAGGGTCGAACTTTTTGAGTTAAGGAGGCTTGGGGCGTTGAGGGTCGGGTTTTGGCGCTAAGGGTTGAAGCGATTAGGGTGTGAGTAAGAATAGCACACAACAATGTATGGTCTCAAGAGGAATTTCTTTCGTGGTCTTTCATGATTGAAACCAATGACATGAGTCCAGGCCCGGAGCGTGCCGGAGCGCATCCAAGTACACGCCTTCGTGATGACAGAGCTGCGTCAAGGCATCGTGAGCAGGTTTTAACGCTGTCTTGCAGCAATTGCGAGTGCCCAAGTCACTCCGCGAAGTGCCCAGAAGCACAGGGGAACCGGAGCAGCAGGAACAAACCCAAACGAAGCAAATCTCTGCAAAACCTTGCAGGTGCACACACAGAGAGCACCGAGGCTTGGGCCCTTTCTTTGCCATGTCGCAGAAGAAGTACAAGACGTCGACGTGTTCGCAGGAACCCCTCCATGCTCGGAGAGGCTGGAGAAAAGGGAAGGATCTGCCTCGTACCATGGCCTTCGTCCCGATCACTTTGGAGAGCACGTAGAGCTCGCAAGAATGCTGTGCAATAAATAGTCGGCGGGAACTCTTTCTTTGGCCAGTCTCCCGTAAACCCTAGTTAAACCCTAAACCCGCAAACCCTTAACCGTAAACATGCTGTGCAACAGTCAGCGCGCCTTCAACCCTAAACCCTCGTGGAATCATGCGTTTTAGAACCCTGAAGCCTTAACCCTGCAAGCCCGATCCATAACCCGAAACCCATAAAACTCTAAACTTTAAACCGGCCCGAAACCCCTAACCCTTAAACCCTAAACCATAAAAACCCAGGATAAATAGAAATTGTTTAACAAACGAAACGTATTGCTGGACGGCTCACCGCAGGAGAGCAAAGACTTCTACGAGACACGGCTGGCCGAGATGGGTGCTCCAGAGTGTTCGCGGCTTAGCAGGGAACAAGATGGGGCGGAGGATGTAGAGCGGGTGTGGTGCTGTTTTGGATATAGGGGTGTTAAACACTGCAGGGCCCTATAGGGGAGAGTCTCAGAGAGAAAGAGAGAGAGAGAGAGAGAGACTGGGGAGAGAGAGGGGGGAATACAACAACAGAGAGAGAGAAATCAAGACTGAAATAATGTGAAGCAACTCTTGGATTAGGCATGAGGTTTGGGAGCCACGGTTTAGGACTGGTACTTGGAGGCTCCGGAGACTTGGTAAGTAATCCGATATTTGCGATAACCCCAACTCAGATACTTCGCAGCTTGGGGTTTTAAGGCTTACTGGGAGGCCCAGGGGACTTAGTAAGTAGGTTCTAAGTAGGGTTATAAGTACCCTAAATGGAGTTACCCCAAATATAGCCCTACTTATAACCGACTTACTAAGTCCCTTGGGCCTCGAAGTAGGATTTGGGGACTTCTATCCTCAATTCGCAGAATTGCGCGATAAGTCCTTCAAACCCAAACCACCAAACCAACTAGCTGAATGCTTGCAGAACCCGTGCAACCGCAACCCAATGCCCTTTGAAAGACTGCGACTTAGAGATGATACATAAACCTAAAGCCTCGACCCCAAGCCCTAAAACTTGAACCCTAAACCCTAAAGCCTATACCCTAAGCCTAAACCCTCAACCCTAAAGCCTACATCCGAAGCCAAAACCCTTGAATCCTAAGGTCAAGACCGAAGTCCTGGGCTTTCTGCGTGAGGCTAGGATGCCCAGTTACCGAGGAACAACAAGGGCTCCCTTTTTGGTATTGGGTAATTTTACAGGGAACCTATAGGACTACAAAAAAAGAATAAGGGTACTGCTGGGCATCCTAGGAGAGAACCTGATAGCCAAGGGGATGGCCCGCTGCTGCACAACGATGCACAGCGCAAACACCTGCCTGGGCGACAGGAATACGGCTTCGGGGCTCAGAGTTTAGGGTTTAAGGTGCAGAGTTTGGGGTCTGGAGTATTTGGGGTTTGAGGTTGCAGGGTCCAGAGTTTACATGCTCCATGTTGTTGGCTATGATTGCAGACTTCAACAGACCTTTATATAACGAGTTAAGTAAGAAGCTTCTACTTAGAGGCCCAGGGGACTTACCTTTTTAAGCCCTTATTAGGCAAGCCGAGAACCCACCAAAATGAGAAATCAAGCCTCTCAATTTCTTGAATTTAAGAAATCGGGCCCCTCAATTTCTTGTTTTGGTGGCTTTTTCCTGCATGGCAAAGCCTCCAAGGCGGCATAGCATGATGCGCCTTGCTTCTTTGCCTGCTTCGTTGCTCGGTTCTACAATCTGCGAATGCATTTCCGGACGTTGCTTCAAAGGCCGGGAATCTTCCCAATCAAGCTCTTCGTCACTCGAACAATCTGTCAGATTTGATATTGTGGATACTATGGTTGCACTTGCCGAACGGGCCAGCACCTGTGGGCATTGAGATTGAGCATGGTCCTGCTCCGGCAGGGGAGCAGTCAAGTTGAAGAACCGAGTGGCCAAAGCTCCCCAGAGCCAGAGGCCTCAGCTCCGCCCGCAGTTCCAAAGCCCCTTCAAGCCTGAACTTTGAAAAACTTTAGTAAAAAGGCCTTACTAATTAGAATGGGGTTTTGGGACCAACTAGACTTCAAATTTACGAAGGAACCCGTTTAAACGCGGGTTTTAACATGTTCGGAATGTGTGGCACCCAAGCTTTACACATATCCGGGATGTGTGGCACTCCAGAAACCGTTCAAACATGCGTTTCAACACTGCTTTACACATGTTCCTGATGTGTGGCGCTCAAGGAACGGTTTGAACATTTTCAAACACTGGTTCAGACATATTCGAGATGTGTGGCACTCAAGGCAACGTTTAAACATGCGCTGTAACACTGGTTAAAAAATGTTCGGGATGTGTGGCACTCAAGGCCCTTCTTGACATGTTTGTAAAGCATGTTTAAACATCTCAGTGCGACGACACTGTTTAAGCAAGTAAACAAACGTCCACAGACTGGCCAAACATGTTTAAACACGTTTATGTTTAAACCGTTTGAACCTAAACGTGTTTAACCCGACCCTGGCCTCCACCTCTTGAAGCAGGGGCTGCCTGTGTACTGGTCGAAGTACTCAGCACTCTGACAGTCCTTGCTGTCGCGGGAAGGTGATGAGAAACTTCAAGGCACCTGAAGAGGAGCGGACTTTGTTCTCAGCCTTATACGCTCTCGTCCGCATCTTGTGTAACGGAGCCGTCACGGTGTCAGTCGCGAGTTGCCATGTCGCCATGTCTTCAGGTCCTTTGAAGTGGCAATGGGAACCTTCGGCTGTGCGGGGTTGCTGAGGACCCACACAAGTTCTTTCTTGTGCCAGAACAAGTATTGGTCCCGCTTGTCGCAACGCCAGTAATTATGTGCCATCCTCATTAGAATAGGGATAGAAGTGCCCTTGAAACAAGCCGCTAGCCTCTTGGAATGTGAGCCTAAACACTTTGTCTTTCATCTGCGCCGCGATGGGATTCTTTCTCCATGGCGCGTTGCATGGCGACGGGCGGTTCTAGAGGCTCTGTGCTTTAGGGTTTGTCTGCTTGTTGATGTACGGACCTTTCCTAATTGGGGTAGGGTTTGGGGGCACATTTAATCGCAGAAGTATGTACTGCAGAGGCGTTTCGGGTCCGGTGTTTCTAGCAATTCTAACCTCTGTCCTTGTTATGGGGTTTGGAATATGGGGTTTCAGGGACTTCGTCAGAAAGAAAGGGGGGTACAAGTGTTTGCCTTGAAGCAGCCGTAAACCTTAATAGTGGAATGGCAATCTTTTGCTGTGTAGGGTTCAGTGCGGTCGCACTTGCAAAGCGTACGATCTTTGCAGCACAAGCTTCTTGACCGTAATCTTGATCTGACACCATGGCCGAAAGCAGAGGCACGACTGCGCCAGGTTATAAGTACCCTGAAAAGAGTTACCCCAATTATAACCTACTTATAACCGACTTACTAAGTCCCCTGGGCCTCTAAGTAGTTAGGCTTAGTGGAGCCAGTGGTCTGAACTAGGCTTTGACAAGACTCCAAAGCATTCGCGATGTAGAGCATATGGGTGGTTGTCAAAATTAGGGTCCCTTTTTGGGTCCCTATTATAATACGGCACCTAATATTTAGGGTACCCAAACAGGGACCCTAATTTTGATAACTACCCATATCATAGCATGCCTACGCAGCAAAATATCTCCACTGCACGATAATAATCCCATAGGCATATTAGCTCCTTCTTGGGGTGCATATTTTTAGTCCTATAAGGTAATCCCCAACTTACTCCCCCATTAAGAAACAGAAATAAAAGGTTAACCTTTCCGATTCCTACTATACGAACCCAACGAGTTTAATGGTTGGGTATTGACAATCTAAGCCAAACAGGACCTACACCCTAAACCCGAAACCCTAAACCCTAAATTCCTGAAGGTAACCCCCCCAAAAAGGACCTACTATGGGGGATCGCACTACCTCTGCCAGCCCCTGGCCTGTAATCGGACCCAAGCTCAAGATGATCGATAAATCAAGGATGGGTTTAGGGCTTAGGGTTTATAGGGACCAGGGCTTAGGGTTCACGGGTTAGGGGTTAGGGTTTAGGGCTTAGGGTTTAGGGGTTAGGGTGTAGGGTTTAGGGTGTAGGGTTTAGGGTTTAGGGCTCAGGGTTCAGGGTTTAGGGTGTAGGGTTTAAGCCAACAATCCTACGGCTAAGGTTGCTTAGCTCTAATATGGAAGACTGAAAGATTCGCGCCAATATTCGCTACTTAGC